CTACTTGTGTGGGGGTGCGTGACGTATAATAAGATGGTTACTTGTGTGGGGTGCGTTGGGTATAATAAGATGGTTACTTGTGTGGGGGTGCGTGGGGTATAATAAGATGGTTACTTGTGTGGGGGTGCCGACTAGGGTGTCCTGTGTCTGGTCCTCAGGGTCCATCTCGTCGTCGGACCACTCCCACTCCCCCTCCTCATTTTTGTGAAGTTTACCGCTGGACCCGGGGACCCGCTTCACCTTCTGGGGTTTGACCGCCACACCATCCGACAACAGAGACTTAACCAGGTACTGCTTGTCCTGTTAAAACCAACAAAGATCAAAATACAGCATAATGGGACGTTTTAACAGCCATCTTACTGTATGTGTACTTAAAATAGTCCACTTCATGTTTTAGTGGCTTTGGCTTAGACAATGATGTGCTAATTCATAAATTCTGCTTCCAAATAACTCATTAATAGAATATACAGCACGAATATGTATAGTGATAATTCAAGATTATGCCATCAACTCAATGTCCATAATAATTGTTGCTAAAAAATATTAATCACAAATATTGTAAAAAGAAATATTTTTGATATCCAAATTTTAGTGACATCTTGCCTCACAAAATAATTCAGTGTTGTCCCTACCTTGGCTTTCTTAAAGAATTCATGTTTCAGAAGCTGCTTTGCAGTTGGCCTAAAAAATCACAATATTTAATCAGAATCTTTAAAAATAACTTAAAATTCATCCAAGCAAAAAAACTTTTTGGATGTCAAATTTTAACTGTCCCCTAAAAACATAAGCAAGAAAATCATTTCCTGAAAAATAGAGATAGCTAATTATCTCATGTGTATTGATTACCATGAGACAGTCATGTACATTTATAATCCCCTATGAAACCCATCCCTCATTCCCTCTTGTCATGATATATCTATCAAAGAATCATGTCACACTGAACAAAAAATTTTTGAATATAAACACTTGATAAAATATTTTAAAAAATACAAGCCCTGCACCTCTTTTCTGGTTCCTTTCGCAGACACTCAGCTATCATTTTACGGAATATTTTGGAGTAACCCTTGTACTGTTCTTTGTCTTCTGCGCTGGTGTCCAGATTCGGGGGTTCGTTTTGTAGGGTCAACATCAGGACTTTCATTGGTGGATATTTATGGTACGGAGCAGTACCAGTGGCCAGTTCAATGGCCGTTATTCCCAAACTCCAGATGTCGGCCTTAAAGTCATATCCTGTCACCTAATTTCAAGAAAATGGAATTAATAATTACAAAATTCTAAAATCCTTTGTTTTTGACCGTATGAAAAAATAAAAAAAATAAATGGACTGCTTTTCATTGACAAAGATGAATTGATTTGTTTTTTTAATCATACTTGAATTATTCTTCACTTCTTATTTAAGGCTGATAATATCAACTTGTTTATTTCTGATTTAAGTAATATTTAGATATTCTCAAAATTATATTCAATATTTTAAATATTCATTCTGACCTGTTCCATTATCTCAACTTTTGAATATTCATACTGACCTGTTCCATGACCTCTGGTGCCATCCAACATGGGGTTCCCACAAAGGTGTGTCGGACACTGTCCCTGGTGATATCTTTACCAGTGGCCAGCCATGCACTAACACCAAAATCTATCCAGGTAAAAAAAATGTTGATTAATTTGAGAATTAAAGAACTGAACAAGATTTGTTTGTGAAACAATGATGCCCCCATATGGCAGTTTTTTGCAAGGATTTAGATTCCTCAAATGCAGGTTTAAATCCAAGGTCAAGGCCAAAAGTTCAAAACTGTTGGTATCCAAAGAAAAGTCTTTTCACAATGAACACATCTGTGAAATATGAAAGCACTAGTACTAACGGTTGAAACGTTATGGTCAGGGTTCATTTTTTTTAAAGTGGGTCAACTCTAAGGTCAAGGTCAAAAGGTCAACATTGTTGATATCCAAAAGAAGGTCTTGTCACAAGATATAGGTACTATCTTTAATGTGGTCAATATTCAAAACTACCACCAAAGCGCTAATGGTCAAAAGGTAGCCAAAAGAGATACATCAATCTACATAATATTAAACTCATAATTTCAATCCATGCCATTCAACACAATAAATTTTGGATTAAACAAAAAATGATATTGAACAACATTATAATTGCACCATTAGGCATTATATAAAATGAAGGATCAGTCATATCATTTGACTTCTCCTTGTTTGGAATGGAATAGTTTCCATGCATATCACACAAAGGAAGATAACTTTAAATATAAAATACTTTTCATTCATACGTGTAATTTCCCTTGCAAACTATATTACTAAAGTTAATTCCCAGGTGCAGCTCCTATCAATACCCCTTGTTGTAGACTTCCTGTAATACCTGCTATATACACAGCCCCATCGTCTCCCAGGAGAACATTCCCCGCCTTGATGTCTCGATGTATCTGTCCATTATTGTGGAAGTATTCCAGACCCTTTAACACCTCTTTTAGGACCGTAGCAATAGACGCCTCGTCCATTACCCCATTCTTACAGATCCCCGCTTTCATTCTGCTTTTAATGATATCAAGCATTGAACCTGAAAATAAACATCATAAAAATTCACCTCATCAATCCACTTTTAAAGACAAATTTATAATCAATGCAAATATATTTCCAATGTTCTAAAATAACATGCAGAGTTATCTAGTTTGAATTTTTTTTTTCAGAGGATAATGCATTACCTGATATCATTTTAACTTGTCTAAGATGCTAAATCTCATCATGCTCATGCATGTGCTAGCAGCTACTGACACCCATGTGGCTAGCAATGAGCTGTCGAGGATATCCATTGATGTTACCAGCAATTTCACCAGTACTGGCCCTGCCCCCATCTCAAAAAGGGGAGTGAGAGCCTTGAATTTCTCCTGTACTGTATGTATTGTCTTATTATTTACCATTCACTGGATCTTACCTCCTCCACATAACTTCATAACCACCCAGAGCTCCTCCTTAACCACAAATGATGTGTAATAGCCCACCACGTTCTCATGTTTACATTGACTCATCGCCTGAATCTCTTTCTGAAATCAAACAGCAAATACATCATGTTGACAGGCTATGCCAAAGTTTTTTTTGGGATCACAAAGAAAATTCAGAAACTGTGTACTCAAGAAACAGCCAGGAATAAATCAAATTTTGATGAAGTGATGAAATACTAGCAAGTAACTGAATTTGAGTGTTTCTAACTTTGTAGAAAAATTGAAAGTTTCCACATAGAAAAATACTGTAAACCAACTTTTATTTGCGTGCTAGAAGAAATTTTCGCAAAGTTCGCGACAGCCTCGACATTGCGAATAGTTCTTGCCGCGAACCGGTAGTTAAAGTCTCTCAGTCTATTTTACAACAGATCGAAGAAGGCTTGATCGCGAAAATTAGTCGTCGCTAACCAGTTTACCTTTGGTAAATTGCGAAATAAAGTCGTTGCGAATAAAAGTTGGTTTACAGTATAATGATCATCAGACTCCTTATTTGCACATTAAGAACAACTTACCAAGAGCTCTTCTACGGTGGTGTTGCATTTTTCCAGGTTTATTCTTTTAATGGCAACTTTCTCATTTCTCGGTTTACATACAGCAGCCTGTACAACAGCTGTAGCTCCCGCACCTACCAATGAAAATTACAAAGCATTTATGACAATGAATTTATTTTTATCAACATTCCAGTTTCATTTCACTATATCATGCTATACACTGCCATATTTAAGAATACTTTCATTAAGTGTAAACCCTCAGTTGTTTTTTGCTATTTGGTTTAGAGGGAGTGCTAATGGTAATATTTCCACTTTTCCAGGATTCAGCAGTTTTCCAAAACTAAATTAGTAACAAATACCATATAAGCAGAATTTACAGTGAGGATTTATTTCTGTTGTATAATTAATGTCTGTATAATTTTAAAATTTTTAAGACTTTAAAAATGGCAAAATAATTGCTGTTTTTTCATTCAAAATTGTAATTTAAGGTTACTTAATTGTTCGATCAGTGAGAGGTTATTGTCTCAATGTTTTAAGAAAGTGGGTAAGTGTCACCGTGTTTGTTTATCTAGGCTAATTGACTGGGACATCCCTGACTGCTGAGTGATAAAGAGGAGCGAACTATGAACGACCTAGTTCTTAAGAGTTATAATAAATAGCTCCATTAAAGACAAACGCTTTTATCAGAACAATTAGTAGCTCTCACAACACTCGTGTCAATACAGACAAGAAATTGTGCCATTAATTTCACTTGAGGCACTTTTAATTTACGTGTTCATTTCTAAGAGGTCTAATTTTATTATTTTTCAAAAGAAAACATGTAAATGTATTGTGTTAAAATCCAATAAGCAGACAGTCTAAATACTTCTAAACCACAATGATAAAATATCCAAATTTCATCGATTATATCTTCGCAAGAAATGAGTTACAATCAATTACAGGACAAAAATGACTCACTGTAATTGATTATTTAGTGATTACACAAAGTTCCCTATAGTAATCGATTACATTTTACAGTTGTATTTTTTTGTGCCCATGATGCCTGTTACAAGTTTAGACAATATGAAAGTGTAAGACAATTATGTCGTAACAGAGTTTAACCCACATGGTTAGAAAACTTAAATTATACAAACTTACACAGATATATTTCTAAAATATTTATGAAAAAGCAAATGATACAGCATTGATAAAGCTTCTTTGTTTTATCCGTCTCTAAATGAGTCTTACCCAATTTCTTAATAAGCTGTTCCCCATATGGTCAATTAATATGACTACTTCATGAATATTTAACACGATGAAAATGAATTCTGGCATGCTGATTCTCCTTTTCAGGCATAAAACATGCTAAACATTCATTCACAACCATACTAACTGACAATCATTGTTAATATTCAGAATTTTTTCTTTAAATACCTTCAAATATATATTTTCCCTTTCATCAAATAAAAAACATTAAAAGAAATATTTGAAAGAAATATTTTAGCACATTCTGACCTACTTACCTGCAAAACATCAATCACATTACACATGACCGATATACGCACGCTACTACAAACGTAATATTCCGACTTTCCTTCGCTCTCAGATTCAAGCAGTATCAAAAACCGTGGGAAACAATCAAGCCTTTAAAAAATGAGTTAGAATCATTACCTATGACGTCTTTCAGCTCGTAAGCATCTCGGTTGTTTGGCCAGGAAGACTTTTCCGCCTCGGCCATCGTCTACACACACCAGACTGTGACCAGCCTCAGCCAGAAAGACGACCTTGACCGAAAAACGATTTTAAAGGATAACGATCCCGATTATATTTCAAGAACATTTGATCGATTTTGAACGGGTACAAGTCAAAACGGCACCTGGTGAAAATGGCACTTAGGAAATATGCAAAACGGCACTTGAGAGTAGTCAAAACGGCACTTTAGAAAAGTCAAAACGGCACTTTTTTAATTTTGAGAATTTGATATTGTTTATACAGAAAATGGATCTTTATATTACATATATAGTAAGAAATGTGCATATTATTATTGATAAAAAAGTTAAAAAGTATTTTAGGGAAAAAATTAAACAGATTCATTTGAAAATTATTGTACTTTTGTACAGTGGTTAGATTTTTAAAATGTATTTCTATTTTAAATTATATATCTATTATTTTCTACAAAAGAGATCAAATCCCAATTATATTATTATATATGATCCTTTGAAATTTAAAAATTTATAGTGTTGCAAATATGTATACTGCTCTGTTTTGGGGGTTGCCAGTCAGTGAGTCACAGTTGACTAATTAGAAGCCAGTTAGAGTATGTTTACTTAGAATACACTTGTAGGAATAGGAAACAAAAGACCATTTCACACCTCCCCTTCAATAATCTGTTGATCGTCAATTTGCAGTCATATACAGCTACTATTGTGTATTTCTCGACAAAATGTCAAATGGATTGTACACAAGTTAGAAAAACTTAGATAATCCTCTCCCAAATGTATATAAAATATGATTAGGCATACAAATTTAACAATATAATAAACATGTACATAGAAGAACAAAACATTTGTTTTTTTTATAATGAAAATGATACAATGTTGATATTGTTAAAATAATTTCTACAGAATTAGATAGAAATGTGAGATAAAGTGACTCTTACTGTAAATATATACATTTTTCAAAAATCATTTACACCATTTCTTTTTTCATATTATCAACACTACACTACAAATATAATCATTCTTAATCCCACATATTGTTGTGTTATAGCTTATAAATACTACCTTTAAAAATAGACTGAAAGTAAAGCAAAATTGAAGCCACAAAAGAATTCTAAAGTCAATAAATTAAATTTTGAATTAAAAAAGAACTTATGTCAAATACAATGTATTTATCATAACACAATTATATATTTTTTCCTCTAAGTGCCGTTTTAACCAAGTGCCGTTTTCACTAAGTGCCGTTTTAACCAAGTGCCGTTTTGCATATTCCAGGTGCCGTTTTCACCAGGTGCCATTTTCACTAGGTACCGTTCTAACCATAATTCTTTTGAACCACATCATCAATATTTTCTAGTATTTGATATGCAGGGTTATAATATTAAAATAAAAGAAATCCTAATCAATATAAATAAAAAAAATCTTATTTGAGTGAGTTTCTTATATTCTTAAAAAAAAAAAATAAATAAATAAATTTGATCGGGTTCGCTTAAATTTATTTTTGCACTAAAAAATATCGAACCCGGATACTAAGACTGATCTTCAAGATGTCTACAACCGATTCTGATTTATCAGAACTCCCCCCATACACAGCCCTGTTATGGGGACAGTTCCTGGCAAACCCCCACCTGATGTATAATTTGTTTTCAAGGGGACCAAATGGAACATCTTTTGCCTCAGACCATGTAATAAATATGACTGGGGTCTGGACTAATTCAAAGATGAGGTAAAAATTATTTTTTGTATTTCAATAAAAAGCTTATATAAAATTAAATTTAATTAAATTATGTTTTATAATTATAGATTAGACTTCAGGTTTGAATATTCATCATGTTCACTAAAATATGCACTTCATGCTTGGTTGAATATGAAATAAATTACCAACTGGTTTTTCCAATTGCTGCATTATAAGTACATGCCATATCATATATGAATTTTACCTATGCACTTTGTACACCATTGTACACTTTCCATCTATTTTGGGCGAACTTGATTTGCAATTATACTTACAGTACTTTTACACTATGTACACCTTTCTTAATCAAGTGTAGGGGTTTAGACTTTTGGTGTACACTGGGTTTACACTTTCTTACACCAATTTAGGGCATGTGTTGAAAGATGTACACAGAGTCCAATATTGCGTAGAACAACTGAAAATTATTTAAAGAACTGAAATTATGTAATTTTAAGGATATTAAATCACATTCAAGTTAATTGTCTGTTGTGTGTAAGTGATGACATTGAAATTATTTTTTAACTATAGTTTTTAACTATAGTAACTAATATGACTAAGTATATTTATTAATTTAATTGTATTATTTTTTTTTTTAAGTGAGTTTAAGGTGGACAGTCTAGAGGAACTACAAAGAGTGAGAAATGATCTTCTGACTATGCCCATTTTATTCCACATCAAAGTGGAACATCAGAAAACGGAAAATTATGCCGTCATTAAAATCCGAAAGAAGTGGAAAGGTATCAATACACCATCCTTGTCTTAATTGTTGAAAGAAATTTACTTATTTTCTCCGTATAGAGGTATTACATGTGTACCTTTTTAGTGTGTTATTATATCGTATATTGGCCGGTTCACAGTTTAATGTGCATAATATTTTACTAAGAGTACTAATGACCATGCAGAGGATATGTGTAATTTTTTTTAATCATGCAAGGTCTTTTTGGCAAAATGAAGGTCACATCATTTTCAAAATTTGAATGGAAGCTTTATGAAATAAAAAATACTATGAAGAGGATATATTATCTTATGGCCTTATTCTTAGTATATATAGTTAGTATAAATTTTGTCAAAATTTCAAAGACTTCACTTGTCAGTGTCATAGATGCATGTTTTAAAGATAATTCTTACATTTACTTATTTTAGATGAGTTTGCAGTGCTCGTTAACACACGACATCCCACCATCCGAGAAATTCTGTCCCACAAACTTAACGAGGCCACACAACACATGCAGGAGGGAAAGAACTTCTGTCTAAAGGTAAACTAAAACCCAGGGTTCAGTTATTTAAGAGGGCTGGGTGGTTGTGACCATTTTTAGACTACAGTAAATTGATCTCCTTTAGATCACCCTTAGAAGAAGAGCTCCATATGAAGATATACAAAATGATCAAATTTTAAAACTTAAATTTTTCTTTCCCGAATGATGATTTACAGCTAAAGATATCATATCTAAAAAATTAAGTTATATTTGATGGTTTATTTGTTGACCCCCAGCCATTTTAACAGGTTTGATTTCCAATACATTGTTGAGCAAAAGACTTTGATTTAATTCAGTTTATTCACCAAAACATCACTTTGAGAACCACTGAAGTCACATAATTCTAAATTGTATACTAAGCTAAGTTTGAATTAAAACACGTTTTTAAAAAAGTCATTTATTAAGTGGTATTTCAAATTTTCTGTTACGCCATCTTTAAAAAAATGTTTGGTTTCCTTCTCCTGACCGACTGACTACAGTGGGATAGTGGATACATTCTATTTTCTGTTTTGTTTTGAAGCTTGATTTTGGCCCCTCCGTGAAGCAGTGGTACAGTGGGGTGGTGGATAATGAGAATATTCTGTCATTGTTTTGTAGCTTGATTTTGGCCCCTCCGTGAAGCAGTGGTACAGTGGGGTAGTGGATAATGAAGTGTCCTTCTGTGACTCCCGCAGCAACAGTGACTCAGGACATATGGAAATATTTGTCCACAACTACACCACCCCCATCGAGTGCTGTGTCAATCCTGTCTGCATCTTCTGTTGTTTTCCTTTCTGGCTGTTGTTTGGTGGACCTTGCTACTGTGTAAGTTTACTATAGAAGTTAATGTAAACCAACTTTTATTTGTGTATGAGAAATATCCATGAGTCTTGAGAGCTACATTAACTCGCAAATATTAATTGCTGTGAACCACGTAATGTTTTGCTTTAAGTAGAGAAACTTCCCCAGTCATGAAATTAATTGTCGTAGATTGATTTCAAATTGATGAATCATGAATAAAAGATGATGCAAATAATTGTTGGTTGTACTCACCACTTGTGGTACATAAAAATTCATTTTTAGCTCAACTGAGATACAGTTATAAAGCTCAAGTTAGCTTTTCTAATCACCCATAGTCTGGCATCCAGCCATCTGGTCATCTATCAGTATATAAACTTATTTTTATATTTTCAACTTCTCAAGAACCCCATGGCCAATTTTGACCAAAGTTGGCACAAAGCATCCCTATGTGAAGGGATTCTAAATTCATTAAATATGATTAGAATATTAAGTTGATTGTAAGCATCATTAATTAATTATTCACTATAGTGTTATTTAAATGTTAAGCATTTTCTGAGCAAAAGGCCTCTTTTTTATTTTTACAGATTCACAGAAACATCAAATGTACTGATGAGAGTCATAGTTTTAGTGACCTTCCCGTGGTTCTACTTACCGGGGTCAGCGTTAGAGTAAGAGTTGAGCCCGCCCAACAATTCTATAGCTACCCCTCCGGACCGGGTCACTACCCCCCAGGCCCGCCAGCCATGCCACAGGGACCACCTGCCTACACACCACCCCAGGGGTATCCAGCACCACACCAACAGGCACCACCAGCAGGGGTACAGCAGAATTACCCCCCAGGAGCCCCACAGAATCACCCCGTGGGGGCCCCACCACCTTATCCAGGCCACAACTAAGGAACTCTGTCGAAGTGAAATATTCAAATAAGTGGTTGTAAGTCACACAAAGAGAAGGGTATTGACTCTATTGTGGTGATTTTTTTTTGTAATGACAATTCAAAAACTCAGTTGTTCTTAATAAAAGATCTGCATTTCTTTCAAGTGATAAAAACCAAGTCTTCAAATGTGTACATTTCTTAGAAAAAATGTTTAACTTTATTTCATTTAATATTTTTCTCCATTTTAAGAGGTGTTTTTTTCTTTAAAAAAAAACAACATAGAGCATGTTCATTGTTCTAACCAGCTTACAAGCTGTTTATGTTTGCTTTAAATCATAATAAAACATGGATTATTAGTCAGAACCGGTGTGATTTTCAAGTATATTTTTGATAAAAATCATCACAATTTCAACTGCGTTTGACTTTTATGTCAAAATAAAAATGAGGGGCCAAACCTGGTCTTTACTACACCTTGTTCTTTGCATTGATGTAAATAGTGCTATTGTTTATATTTCTGTATTTGAATTTTACTTTTTGTGTGTATTCCATAATTCTTATAGATTGTGTACAGAAACCAATACTAACTAGTACAGAAATTATTTTCAGAAAACTTTTAATCTGTTTATCTGCACGCACATTCAAGGACATGAATTTTTTCTCCACATTTATTAAGTAGAAAGAAACTCAGCAATGTAGTATATGACACATTCAATGTTATTTACAGATTCAGTGATGTAGTAATCAAGGTACATGTAATAGAATTTATTTAGCTGAAATATCAATTAAGCTATAAACCCAGGAGTGGTATCATAAGCAGAGCTATCCCCTGCCCCATTTTTTTCCAGACACAGTGTAATTATCATTGAAAGATACCACATTTTTGTAATATAGATATAAGTAAGTATAGTATAGTAATTTTAGTATACTGAAATTTGACAATTTAAATGTTTTATTTAGAATTATTTTGGAGGGGAGGGTGTTGGAAGATGTACGTAAACCATCCCCATCTCATTTGTCGAGTTGGTACATGTAGGTTGTCAATTTTTTTTTTCCTGGTCTCCACACTTTAAAAATGATACTATTTGTATAAAATCTACTATTGAATGATCCTATTAAATTTTCACCTAAATTCTCCCAAAGTAGTGATTTTTTTTAAATTCTGCTTTACTACTTTGAGTATCAATGTGCCATATTTTTAACAGCATTTTTGTCACATTTACAAAATAATTTTATGATTGCTTTCAATCATACAATTTATTGATTTGTTGTAAATTTAATTAAGGCCATTGTTATATATATGTATAATTATAAGTTATAACTTACTTGTATAGTGTAATTATATGATGTGCTATACACCTTAAATTTTTATATAATTTTTGTTTTTTTTAACCATGCGTTCTTTTAAAAAGGGAAATTGTATGTATTATATGTAAATTTATTATTCTTTAGCAGTTTTCTACAAAACTTGTTTCAAAATAGGACATAATTTTTTTCAAAAGCAAATGAAAAAAGGGTTAAATCTGATATGTGACTATATTCATGATGTCATATGTCCTGTGTCAATTCATTTTTTTGTGACCTGTAACAAATTTATTTATTTAATATTTTAATTTTTTTTTTTGGGGGGGGGGGGGTTGCTTCTCTCATTGACAAGCTCCAATCAAATTGAAATATGTAGATAACATTAAAAAAAAAGAATCAATTGAAGTTTAACATTTGATGTCTATGATGCATTGATTATAACCAAAATGATTTATGTTATTGAGAGAGATATGACTAATGGACCAAGATTTGTAATTTTCAAGGAAGGCAGTCAACCCTATGAGGTAATGAAATGAAATTTGCCAGGGGTCCCATGGTAGTGAGTTGACACAGGACTCCCGATATTGTTGAATGATCCGTAAGCACATAAAAACACACCTAAAATTGAAAAAAAAAACTTTAATATTTAGCAACATTTAATAAGATGATTCATTATTTACATGCAAGACAGTAGCTCTTAATTAAGGTGCCTTACATATTGTAACACAAACTTGTACTTTATAAGAGAAATCACTTTGCAGGGATGCACTATAATTAGCTTGGTTGTTCCATGATCTGCTATATTTATGTACATTCAAAATAACGGTTGTATATGCATGTAACTGCATAAATGCTCTGGTAGGAAAATAAAATATTTAAACTGTTTGTCTATAAGTTTCTAATATTTGAGGTCAATTAAACCATCAAAATTCATGCAATTTTCAAAAAAAAACTATGTTTCCTGGACATCAAGCATTCAGACTATTAGCATATAATGAGCATTGAGCCCTCTTCCCAGATTAGATTGTAAAACTCAGTAGACCTAGGCCTTGATCAGGGGCTCTGGTGCTAGGGTAGGGCTCTGAAGTCTACACAGGAAATCCATTGCGTAATTTTTGGAAAACCTCCTGTGCTCCTGGGTATTTAGCAGAAGACTCAGTGCATGCGAGAATGAGCAAGGGTTCTACTACTAATACTTTCTACTACTAATACTTTGAAAATGCATTGGTCCTTAAAAATTTTCTTCTTCTGTTCTTCTGTCCCCTCGTATATCATGTATATTAAGCAGACAAACTAAATGTAAGGCTAAAAAAATGAGCAAGAGTGTCTTTACTTAAATTGTGAAAATTTTGTATATTTTTTAAAAAATCCTTTTCTCTGCTCTTGAGTACTTAGTAATTTGGTAGACAACTGTATCATTGGTTATGTTGAGCAAGGATGCCTTTACGTAAATTGTGAAATTTTTAACCCCTGTGACAAGTGCTCGATCTGGTTCTAGGATTGGGCTCTGTTGGCCTCGAAGCCAAAAATTCATTTTGTTTAAAACTTCCTCTGCTCCTCGGCATCTAGTAGGCTTATCAAGTCATAAGCTATAATTTAAAAAAAAGTGTCTTTATTTTAACAGATCTGAGAAATTCATAGTGCTCCTTTGAAGAAGAAGGGAAATGTTTTCTCCCTTTTATATATTTACTAGGCCCGTAGAAGCAATTCATTTAGGGGGGGGGGGGCATCCATTATATTATATTTTCAGTTGGGGGCACTATAAATTATCAAAAATTCCTTGACAAGCAAAAAAAAGTCATCAGATGTTTTTACATGTATTGATTGGACACGAGCATATATAGTAGCTATTTTTTCTATAGTATACTATATTTATATCGACAAAATTAATTATTGGGGGGGGGTGCACATGCATCGATCATCTGAATCAAATTTTGTAGAAATATAAAGCGCACCCTACATTTTTGTTTTAATGTGTCTTAAAATAATACAAGGGTTTTTCTCCAATTGATAAAGTATGTTAACGTAATATAGGCTGATTTAATTTTGTTTTTCTCTGAACATTATAACTCTTGTGGTAATTTAATCGGTAATATACCTTGGGAAATGAAATAAAGTAAAGTAAAAGTACAAGGTACAGGGTTATATTACATGTAGTCCAATTTGCGGCGGGTCCATGGAGGAGCAAAAAAGATTTACAAACATAAAACAAAAGAAGGAGGAGGAATCAAATGCTAGAACAAACTTAAACTGATCTTACATTTAATGAGAAAAATGGTTAATCCTATAATCATTGATAAATGCGTCTACAAGATATATACTATATATGCATAAAATGATATTTGGTCAAGTCCATGCCGAAAGAACCCCCTCCCAATAATTTTGCCGAACGTATTGCCATGGTAACTAGAAAACATAGCTATACGATTTGCTGTGCTCCCTCAATAGAAACGTCTTCAGTGTAATGGCTTTTTTTTCTTGCCAACTTAGGAATTTTTTGTACATCTAGTTGCCCCCTCCCCCCACCCAATTGATAATATATATGGCTGGTTGTTTAGCAGAACTTAAAAGACTACCCCTTTGGTCTAAAATTTCCTTCTCAAGTATTAAGTTAGTATTGGGATCACCTGAAAACTTCTCTGTGATTTTTTGGCTTTTAAACTTTTTCAATCTACAAGTAATTGTAATTTTTGGACTATTAAGAAATTATTTTCTAAAGGTTCCATTCAACATCCTAGCTTTACCAAACATAAAATAAAGAACATTGACCAGAACACCCAAGAGCAAACATCAAAAATCGTTGGTTCAGAAAAACTTGAATTGTTTAAAATTACATTAAAAAAATCCGAGGAGTTCACATGATGATTTACTCAGAAAAAGATCTGAGAGATCTCTTAGTAGAAGTAGTACGTAACATTGCAATAAAAAGCGGTAGATACATGTATAATTATATTTCCTCATCAAGAAACGAGAAATGTTATAATGTTTGCAAATTGAGGATGAAATTCATTTTTTCACTGTAAATCTTATTTTAAGATTAGAAACACATGCCTTATAAAACAATTTATTTTACAAATATTGTAATTGTGTTTGTGCCAAAAAATATCCCCCCCTTAAATTAAATTACTTCCTACGGGCCTGCAAGTACATGTGAGTGGAAGAATTAAAAAAAAGTTAAAAGTAAGCAAATGCAAATATCTCCAAGTCTTGAGTAAAAGAATCAATTTGTTAACAGCGTTTTCGTCAATTTTTAAATATATTTTATTGCGGAAGTAAAAATAAAAGAGATCGGGTTCAACATTCTACTATGAAGGCAAACGCGTAAATATTGAAATCGAAAGTAGACTTCAAGTTCATGAAATTAAAATACCCAGTCAGTTGATAAGTAGAATCTCAGACAAAGAAATCATCATTCATTAATGTTAACTAAAGAATAACAGGTAAGATAAACAAGTGTATAAACAAGTGTATTATGAAGTATTCTTAACGCTGGTCGTTCCGACTGAACAAGAAATGAAGAATCGGAATCCTATTAAATCAGTGATAATCTGAACAAAGCCTGGGCTCGTCACAACTTATTTGTTATCTTTAAATTTGACCACCTTTATACGATATTTTGGCCTATAGTGTAGGTTTGGGGGTGGTCAAATTTAGAGAAGACGAATAAGTCATGATGAGCCCTTGTGAACATTGAACTTCGCACACTGAATGCATTCATGGTATAATAATTCTTTGCTTAGTAATTTCATAAGTTGATATAATACATCTAATCATGAATGTGTGGTTTTACAGTTTGTGACATTTGTGTATGTTTGACTGTATATTATAGTTTTTTGATTGATCTTCGGGATATTCTTCAGCTAGCTAGTTTCTCCATTTTTTTTCTGTAATATACACATGCAGGTAACTCGAGGTGGGACGAACTCTCGAAGTTCTCGATCTCTCAAAGTAAACACCTGGTCCTGTCTTTTCATCTATATAACTTAGCAAATTTACTCCTGATCTCTCGAACATGTATCTCTCGAAGTTTTCTATCTCTCCATCGAACAAAGACCTGGTTCCTGTAACATATATATTTCATTGTTTTATCTCTCTGTCTCTTGAAGTTTAGATTGTGCATGAATACATGTCAATCAATTGTAAAATTACTGCAGCTTGGTATCAAACTTTTCTTGCCGTCCATTAAACTCCGAAAGATCTTGATCGAGTCACCTGTATACACAATAATCGAGAGACTATATAAAAACATCTTTAAATTTAAAAAGTTTTGTCCCTGAATGCAACAATTAATATTTATGCTGGATTTATAAAACACTGATAGTGATTTTTTTTTATTTTTAGGAACACATGTGCATCGAATAATATTAAAAAAGAAATTAAGTTATACAGATGATCTGAGTTGTGAATATTTATTTTACCAGGGAAATATTTACATTAATTTGTTATACACTTGAATTAATTCAACACAATTCAATGGATGACCTACATGTACATGTAGGGTAAGGCTACCCTAACTAGGTAATTTTTTAGAGGAATGTTTGGAAAATATTTTCCGAATAAAACAAAGATGGATGAAACAGACTCGAACGACCTTAAGAAGGGAAAGGAGGATGCACCATGGTTAAACAAAAAAGTTGGAAATGCACCAAGAAGAAGTGGGAAATTGGACATCCCTGATGAAAATTTTGATGATAAGGTTGATCAAGAAGAGTATCTTCAAAGACAAATTCAAATGATTTCCAACAAACGATCAGTCCAGTTTAACGAGAGAGGAGATATGGCGAAAGGCAGTCTTACCAAAGGAAATTCTGGACTGCCCAGAAAACCCAGTTATCAGCTGATGTGTGATGATGATTTTGATGACATGATGCTTAAAGACAGCATTGGATTTCCATGTGAAAATAATAGGAAGACAACAAGGAAAGAACCAGTAAATGTTGGAGAAGTTTCGGAGGAATTATCGGGGATGACGCTGAAAGACAGTATTGGTTTTCAGCAAAGTAGAGAAATTTCAGAAGAGAGTTATGATGTTGAATCTCTGGATGAAGCAACAGAAGAAATTCAACAGCTCATTAAGAATCGGACCATTTCTTCTTCAGAAGGACATAGATTATTAATGGACCTTCAGAGTTGCCAAAGAAACACAGATTTTACAGATAGGAACTTTAAAGACTCCCAGAGTAGACACAGTAATTCTTGCCGAAGAAGGAGTTTTCATCTAAGTAGTGATGAAGAAGAAGCTGATGAAATAAGAGAGCTAGTCAAGAACGAGACACTTACTGCCACCGAGGGTCGGCAAAGACTTCAAAATCTTCAAGCTCGAAGATTTCCAAATCGTGATTTCTCGAAATCAAACCAGACCCCTGTAGGCATGCCCTGTGGGTTTGATGCAGATGGTCTTCCACAGAACTGGAGCAGGGACTCAGAACCTCCCTTGCCTCATCATTCCATGTTTAGGCTGATTCCGTTGAGTGTGGGAGATAAGGAATGTGATGAGATATACAGAGAGATGGAGCAGGTGGGCCTGGATGTGGTGATGATCGAGAGGCTACAGAATCTGGATTCTCTAGAAAAATTTAAGGCCGAGACAAAACACATGGCCAGGAGAAGGAATCCAGGTATCTGCATGTACTTTGATAATTTTTACTTATAGGCTTGTGTTTCAGGTGTAAAAGAATGGCATTCACTTGTTTTAAATGCACTTAAAGTTCATGTATGATATGACAAACTTGTGGCCACATACGTAGGGTAAATCAATTTCATACAGAAAAAAGTATACATTATTACAGTATGCCTGGTCAGTGAAAAAAAATATTTTTCTGTAGTTTTGATCAAGAAAGATGAAAACAGACAGACGGATGGACGGACGTACAGCGGACATACCGATTACTATATACCCTCCCGCTTTTCGAGCAGGGGGTATAATAGTTTAAGAAGAGAATATATTTCATATCTTAATTATCATAATATTGAAATTCATAATATTCTCAACATATTTCAGATGACGATTTAAATATTCGTTACCTGTATCACGGTACCTCCGTGGACAAGACGTGTATCTGCGAGGAAGGACTGGACCAGAGACTGAGTAGGATGGGCTACTTTGGTAAAGGAATCTACTTCAGGTATATGCTTTGTTTGATTTCAAAAATTTGTTCAGGAACTCTGTTTTTTGTTAAAGGAATGTACTTCAGATACATGTTTGGTTTTAAAAATATGTCCAGGAACTATAATCCATCATTTATTTAAAATTTTGCATAATATTCAATGAAATCAAGTAAAAATTATTTAAAGCAGGAGTTATCTTTCTTAGTACAAGAATTTCAGAGCATTAAGTTTAGATGACTACTGGTAATGGATAAAAACCTCTAGAGATCAATGATGATATAGGTGGTATTTATTACAGTGATAATCCTCTAAAGTGCCTTAATTATGCAAGAAGTTCTGATGGAAAAGGAGAGTCGTACCTTCTTAAGTGCCGTGTTATACTCGGAGATCAGAAGGTTAGAATACATTAATGTCATATAATGGAACAGAATAGGCTCCACAAGTTTTATGTATTTTTGAGATGTCAGCGATCAAGATGCCCGTCGTGGGCAGATACGGCTTTGATTGCCATTGGACTGATAGGTCAGTTAATAGTTGAACAGCTGACTGGAATGTCACCTCTTTTGCTTATTTCTAGGGCATCCAACTTAACAATGTTGCTCACAATATTGTTATTATCAATTGGTATGAAGCTAGCATATTAAATCAGCACACAAGTTTGAAATGTAAGCTATTTAAACCAAAAAAGGTTATGGATAGCACAACAGCCCCCCCCCCCCCCCCCCCCCCACCCTCCTTTCAGAATTCATGGATATAGCAAAGTTATCTTGGATCCCCACCTATATAAATTTAACGAGTTTTATTGTAATCTTCTTTCTATAATCTGTGACTCAGAAAAACAATAAAAATTAATTAACTTAATCATTTAACATCAATGATGCCTTAAATATGCTTTATATTTAATGCAGATTAAGTTTGTTCAATTCATGGGCCCCCAGGCTAGGATGTGACCACATAATAGGATCAATGCTAGTAGTAATGTTTTATCTTTGAAATGATATTGTCCTACAGAAGCACTTTAAAAATAGAAAAAAAATAAACCTCCAACTCACTGCATTTTACTTTGATAAATATAGAGAGTTTCGAATGTCAACCTGACATGTTAATTCGAAGCAAGAAAAAATGTTGAGAAAATATGAGATGATATTTTGTCTTTATATGGAATATTTTTGGGGTAGTTAAAATGCATATACAATATCTATGGGAAGTATTCTAATTGGGAAGTATTCTAATTGGGGTGAGGACAGTGGCCCTTTTCACAAAAACATCTTATGATTAAGACTAAATTATTCCTCCATTCGACATCAAATATCTAAGCTGCGAAAATATTATTTTTTCAATACATTTTATTAATATATTATGATTAAATTGTACTTAATTATTTTTGAAATAAAAATTACAGAGTGGTGAAATTTTGATTTTAGTCGTAAGATTTTTTTTTGTGTGAAAAGGGCCACGGGTTAGCAGACTCATTAGATTATTCAACATTGTAATCTAAAATAGCTGTTAAATTATTTTTTTAAATTTGAATCAGTGTTATAGAAATGGAGAATATAATACCACACTGAAGAGAGAACCCCCGAAGGAGAACCCCAGGCCAGGATCCTCAAAGTTCTATGATTCTGTCATGGTGAGTAGTATTTGTTTCAGTCGATTCTTTAAAATAAAAGTGTAATGTTTCTGTCATGGTGAGTATTAATAATTACAGTGAATCCTTTTCTAATTGACTGGTAATACTAACTGGTTTAATTAAGGAAGAATTGAATATATTACAGTAAAAGGTCAACATTTTTTCTTTATGAAAGGAAAGACTTTGGTACACATGTATACACAACATATGGATAACTGTGAATAAGACAAAGTTTTTCTGTACTATGAACATTATAAATGCTAAAATTACAGCTGTATTCGAAGGTCCCCAAACGGAAAAGATTTTTAACAAACTACTATTAAACCATCAACAAACTACCAACAAACTATATTTTTGTGGTTTGTTAAAGTAGTTTGATAGTATAGCATTTAATGAACCACTAACAAACCACTTTTTCTAAAAATAGCTGCAGTGGTTTGTTAGTCTTTCATTTCTGGTGATTGTGATTTCTTTATTAATAATAGTTTGTTAGACTTGATATCTTGCAACAGTGTTTTATTAGTATAGCATTTGCATCTAACCACATGGGAAATTACTTTACAGATGTGTTTAGGGTTGAATTATCTAGAATTGTTGAAGTTTCCAAGAACAGCTTAATCTTTACATCCGGTGTTAGCCTATTTGCGCCAATTTTCAAACCACCAGCAGGTCAGAAACAAAGGAACTTGTGAAGGGACATTCAAATTGTTAGTATCATTCTATAAGATCCCTGACTGGAAAAAGCAGCAATTAACATTATTAAAAGATGGATCTGGATACAGAAGAGGTATTTATTGCATGTCATGAAGTAATTAACCTTCTGTGGATATTGTGGATGCATATGCTTTTTACTAGCTTTGGGTTTTTATTTATTTTTCAGATTGACCTATAATTCCTATACTAGTTTAGATCAGTTATGCATTGGATTATAGAAAGTATACTTGAAAATAAGACAAAAAAAGATGTCTTTCAAAGTTGCAATGAGGCCAGAAAAAGGAAATATTCAGCATTTTCCATGCCAGATGAAGCAGGGAATATTTAAATGTCAGCTTGAAGAACATTTTTTTGGTGAAAAATACTATTAAGATGTGCACAACATGAAGGAGAATATGTGATAAGTACATGGACACTGACTTGGAATTGCATCTCCTAAACAAAAGGGAACATATGTTGGAATGTTGCACTTCATTGGCTAAACTTGTGAATCCTGGAATTCAAAATACTCTGAAACAAGACCAGTGTTGAATATTTCAAAATGTGATTGTTTTAGGTGTTTTCAAAGACTTGTGGATTTGTAAAGGAAAATTCAAATCTAGTGTTTTGTTGATGGATTGTTACCAGTGGTTTGTTAGTAGTTTGTTAGAGTGGTTTGATAGTAGTTTGTTAGTGTGGTTTGATAGTAGTTTGTTAGAATGGTTTGATAGTAGTTTGTAAGAGTGGTTTGATAGTAGTTTGTTAGAGTGGTTTGATAGTAGTTTGTTAGAGTGGTTTGATAGTAGTTTGTTAAGAGTGGTTTGATAGTAGTTTGTTAGAGTATAGTTTGTTAGCTCATTTGCATGTGATTTGCTATACTATTAAACTACTTTCAAACCATAGTGGTTTGTTAGTAATTTGTTATAGTAGTTTGTTTGCCCTTTTTTTCCGTATGGGTCTTGCTTGAAATACTTTTATAGCAATTAATAATTATCATAGTATTGATTATCTGGATGGTTGTTCTCTTCAGACAAATATGAGATAGTCAAAGCATCTTAATTGATAAGCAATTAATAATTTTTTTTAGTAAAGCATGATTAAAAGTTTTGTATAAATTCAAAGAGAAATTAACCTATTATTATTTTTGTGTTACATCTTCAGTTTGTGATTTTTCTGCTCAGAATCCATTTGCGACAATTAACTTATCGTCACCGACAAGGCAAACTTTTATATGAATAAATAGATGACATTTGGTTCGCGGCGATAAATATTCACATTATGTCAAGTAAAAGAAAGTCATGAAACTCATGTGATACAGTGTATTTCTTCCTCAGGAATAAAATTTCGTGTACAGTATATGACAAGCTTATATAGATCTACACTGGTTTTTTTTTCTCTACAGGGTTGTCCAAAAGACTACAATGAATATGTAATTTATGAGAACAGAAGAGCGATGATTGATTACATCATTACCTTCAAGGTCAACCAGCAAGGTCAAGACTCGTTACGAGAAAGGATCCCTAGTCCTATATTTGACAGTCAGGGGAGAGGTAGGTTGATCTACGATTTCTCGTATATTTCATGGAAAACTCGAGACTATGAACCAAGATGAGGAATTTTCATTCCTTCTAATCCTTTCTCTAGATTTTAGACCCTAAAGATACTTTCAACATTATCACTCCATTCGTACAGTCTTTTTAGCTCACCTGAGCCGAAGGCTCAAGTGAGCTTTTCTGATCACATTTTGTCCGTCGTCCGTCCGTCCGTCCGTGTTTACGAGAGTGCATTTATTGGGTATTTTTCATGCCAAGATTGTACTTATTGGGTACTTTTTGCTTATTGGGTATACCCAATAAGAAGTGTCGCTGAATATGCTTAAAACACCCCAATTGGGTATTTGCAGGTTAGTACCCAACAAAACTTGGACACGACGATTTGTCCAAAAAAGTGTCCAAAAAAGTTGCTTTCACGGACGCACCGTGTTTTGTGTTTCAGTTTTACATTCGGAACTCTCAATTCTCGAGAGTTCCGAAAATCAACTTCCGTTGATCCTGATCATAACAACGTTTGTTTTCATGGGAAAAAATATGGCGAGTAAGAAACACTTAATGTCAACAACATCGTCTGATTGACAAGAGAAAAGGTAAGTTTATTCGATTAATATTTATCTATTGCTGGGTTCTTGTTTAAGGAAAATTGATTTAATGTAATTTTGAAAACAATTGTGCACAAAATTAAAATAAATATATCGGAACAATTAATCCTAAGTTGCACTTGTATGTATTTTGAATTTTCTCTGTCTTTAACTCTCTTAAGGGCGAGAAGTATTTAGTAAATGATCGTATATTGTTAGATAATCTTTAATAAATCGAAAGTGTTAATTATTCAATTTTAAATCATAACCAACTAAGTATGTTCTGACAATGTATATTGGAAAGGGAAATGAAAATCTTAACAATCGTGTGTTCATAAATCAGCTGTAAATTATCGGTTCATGTAGACAGTATTACAATCGCAAAGTGAGCTGAGATGAGATAAATGGGATAATTGACAACTACTAAATAATTGTATGTAAGTTTACCTCATCTGATATGTAAGAGAATCATATAAAGACATTGTATTACTGAAAAACGTTCAGTCAAAACAGTGCTTCTTTCTGTCTTTGATTTTGAGTGTCTGCTTTATTTTGATTTTTTTTTAAATTATTGTTTTTGGCATTTGTTTTAATTAATTTAAAACAATACTGAAATTGATATAGGGCTACTATAAATATTTCACATGATGGGTGTGTAATTAGCATCGCGCTACACCCGGGGCTTCCATTTTTGAGGATGGGGCTAGTGGTTTTCTGTACTGAGGAATCCCCTTGGGCTATTATATATAGGAAATTTAAAATACACATGTAATGCATGAAAAGCACCACCGGTATTTTCACTCCTTTTTGCTATATGAAAATATTCCAGACAGCATGCTCCTATTATCCACAAATCTCCAAAACTGCATCCATTTTGCATTACTACCAGACTGATTTACTTAAAAACGATCTTTTTTTCCCCTAATTTGAATTCCCCCCTTTCCTTTGTTTAATATAGCAATATTTGCATGTACATATATGCCTCACAGATATCTCATTATTAAATTATATACATTTACTCAATCAGCTCAATGATAAATGTCATGCAATTATGTTGCGCTTTTTTTTATTTAAAGCCATATATGGCGTAACTGATCAAAAAATATATTTTTGAAAAATACAAAATTAAGTAAAGAAATATAGTTAATTCATTTAAATTTAAGCTTTTCATACAATTCGGAGCATGGAGAACACCTCGTTTCATCTAATAATATGATTTTATCTTCTCTGTAATGTGTTATTTAAATCTTTTGTATTTTCTTCCAAGTCGGAGAAAATTTCGAGAATCCAAATTAAATTTTGATATCTTTATAACGCAATTGACTTAGATTTTGTAATTTACGGAAAATTTCTTTCTTTAAAGATTCAAGATGAAAACAAAATGATTTTTGCTTCGTTTTAATTAGACGAACTAGTGAATGACCAGAAAAGGAATACTGTAGACGTACTTTTTTCCACGGGGTCATAATTCCGCGGAATCTCAATTTCTGTTTAATCCACGGGTACAAAATTACGCGGCTTTTAAGATTGTCACTATATGCCTTTCATTTGTATTAAGTACGCTTGAACAAATTTCCGCGGAAAATTTGTGACCGCGTACATAGCGTAAATTAATTCCACGCGGAAAAAAGTACTTCTACAGTATTTAAAATCTTTTTTTCATTTTTTAAAATCATTAATTAATATATGATTAAATTTTACTAGCGACAATTAAATTAAACTTTAATTTTAAAAAGAATCATCTGTAGTTAATATCCTGACTTTTTTCACGATGAACTTTTTTTCAATGTTATTTTTTAATTTTTGCCTCTATATTTGGGCTTGTCACTTTTTACTCGGGGATAGTAACTTTTTTTATTGCCACCAAGCTGTGGATTAGTACTCGATTTCTTTTATTGCACAGCAATGACTATGATTTAATAGCACAAAAAGCTAATGGGTTTACGTATGTGAATTTATATGATTAATGCTTACTTGTGATTTTAGGATAACTGGAGATAATGATTCCTTTTTTCCATTGATATTTCATAAATATTTTCCTAAGTATTATGTTACAATAAATTGGTTTAGATTTTTTTTATAAAAGTAATCAATAATTGCAATGGAAATTAAAACCATAATCATGTTCATTGAGGATTTTCATGTAATATGTAACAGGTCAAACTGGAACTTCAATTGTGAACATTGCAGAGAACACACTCATCAGAAGATGACCCTCAGAAATAGGATAATTGTAAGTAATCAGTAAAATGAACAGGAAAACTTCATGCCAACCATAAGATTTTTAGAGACATTTTCGCTTCTTAAATTAGAAGAAATAGAGGGAAAAACTTGTACATACTACATAACTACTAGGCAACCAACCTTTAACGGCAGGAAAGCTTTTGGTATGTGCAATACAGCTACATAAAACCTCTTTAGTATTCATGCTGAGTTTGAGAAAGTACCTTAGTATTTTTTCTAGTGTATGCCAACATTTTCATGCACACTGTTAGCTTGTTTGTACTATCATTTTATTTTATATTCTTCAGATGCCCTTTACCTTTGCCAGTTTTGAATCATTTGTTTTAAGGGCATCTGAGGGTTGGTTCCAGAACTTAATTAATTGTAAAGTAAATACCGTGGTACTATTCGGTCATAGGTTATGTTAATACGTGTATAACATTTTGTTCTGATAGAGGTGGCATACAGGAAAAGAATCAATACTAGATATCACTTCAAAGGAATAAAATAGCTTCATTTTGAAAAGCACAAGCGATTGCATAATAATTAACAGTAAATACAGACAGACATACACTACCATTCTTTTGTAAAGGGGGGGGGGGGGGCTGAGAAAAAGAAAACAAAAAACATGAATTTGATAAAGCAAAAGAAAAAGATCGCGGAAATCCTTCTCCAAACTTGAAAACGATTAATGTAGAATTAGGAGTTAAAAAGATACTCATTTTTTATTTGAAAAATTAAACTTCAACATTAATGTGTGTTTATTCATATTGTAGCAGCGTAAAGACGTATGAATTTTTTTGGGGGGTAGGGGTGAAGAACTCAAGATTTATCTCTGAAAAGAATGGGTCACCTGTCCCCCAGATACTACCTGCCTGACATGTATATATATTTCTTAACTTCGCTGTAAATTCTGCAATGAATATTCCGATTTACTTATCGATTATAAATACATTCGAAGTGTTTCAGAGTTTATATAAAATTTTATATGCATGCAGCTAGCATCCAAATACGTGACAAGAGTATAAAGTTGCTTTGAATATTGAAGTGGTCAGTATGCGAGTTTATTTGTTTAGACAGTGATTAAATGTGAAGAAATTATTACGTCTTTGGTATTTTCTGCTTATAATATTTTGTTTCTTTTTCGCAAGAAATTGATTAAATGTGTCTTTATGTACAACTACGCGTGTGCTTTAATTTTCGCAATGAACAGGAATATTGCAATTACGTGCATGAGAATTACAAAATGTCCCGGAAAATCGTCAAAGTTTAACATATTAGTGATATTCATCGAAGTCTACAGAGAACTTTTTTAATGTAAAAAAATGAAAGCTGGTGTATGCACTTTTCAAATACGAGCTACCAGATTGTGTCGCTTTCTATAGAAAAAACGCTTTCCAAAGGTATTCACCTGTGGCGGAATAGAATCACGTGACATATTATCTATTCTTGGCAGGTCAACAAGAGGTTAATCCTATGTAAATGTACTCACCGAACAGATTCAAAATCATGATACTTTTAAGTAGAAGACATAGAGCGCAATGTTGTTCAACAAAGATATTTTCACACAATCTCTATAAATATAATATACACATTATATTTTGATGTCGACTTTGAACAAATCTGCGCTCGATGTTTACGAAAGCTCTGAAGTGGGTACCTGTCACAAATTTCTTTTGATATTCATGAAAATCAAAGGACCCCACCTTCAAACCACAGCTTTGCATGTTCTTTTTTGCAATTATTTGAATTTTTTAAACATTGGAGCATATACTGCAGACATAAGAGAACAATGTAATTTACTTCTTAAGCTTTTTAATGAAAGTTTAAAATTTGACGAGAAACCGGGGACCACAGATAATGGCTTATTGAGACTTCTTCTTTTGTGCAAAGCATACCCCAGGAAGGGGTATGGAGTGTCAAGTGTGTCTCTGTCCCTGTCAATATAATTTCAAAGCAGTTAGTAAGGTTTGGGTCAATTTTAAATCCTCTTTAGCAGAACCATTGGGCTAAAAACAATACTAATGTGAAAGCTTTATCATTAAGTGTAGAGATGTTTTTGAAGATTATGTACCCCTAATGTACTGATAGTGTTACATTAGAAGTCTAAAATTTGCAAGGAATAGGTGTAAAATCTTTTTAAAATCTCCTTCTTAACAATCAGAAACTAACAAACTGTCTAATTAATATGCA